TAATTATGCATGCAATGGACTCAGGACAAGGTGCGTTTCTATCAGTCTTCCTACCATTATGACCAAGTTGTGAAGACAAGGTCAAACAACTTCTACACAACGAAAGGAGACTGCGACCACACAAAAGGCCACACCATCTTGGTCTTCATATCTACCATGATAAATAGTGTCTTGAGTAAAACGTATACTGTCACTGGAATCGAGTTTAATTAATCAGCCAATTAGATAAGAAACGAATCTTCGGCGTTATCGAGGACATTCGGATAGAAGGTCTTAGTCGGATCAGCAATTCTAGGAGGACAAAGTAAACATGCTGATGTGATAGCCCCCCAGTATACTCGCCAAAAAGGGCACACCTCTAGATTAGTCGAATATTGATAAATCAGTTAGAGGTTGTGATAGCGAGGGCGTGAAACACGAGGTAATGGGGTGAATGTACCTGGACAGGAGGAAGGAAAACACAACTGTTCGGCAGAAAGTTGGTAAAAATATTGACTTTACTTATTGGTCATGCGTAGATGTATTTTTCTTATATTTGGCCAATTATTATTTTTATCTCCTTACCTCCTTATCATCCAGTTTAATCAAATTTGCTCATTTGTTTAACGAAATTAACTAGCGTGAAGTTAAGGATATTTTAATTCACCCACTATACTCATTTCTAAAAATTAGGATTCTAGCGCAAGGTCGCAAAGAGCATCACAGACGATTCTAATGTCACACCACTTCAGATTCAGATTAACTTCTTTAGTAGGTGTTTAGACTTTCCTCCTGTTGTACACTGGACATAGGCTCTACTTGCCAGTCATTCTTTATGCCTGTCCCATTTGAGGCTAAAAGTCTGTCTTCATGAGATACTTTGCATTCTGACTTATAGACTTATCGCTCGCTTGCTTCTTTTATCAACTACACTATATTTGTTATGCTCCCTATTATAGACGCAAGGCTGTATTGATCTGATGATATTCCACAACATTTATAGTGAATCTTCAATTCTTGATATTTAGTCCTTCCAAGTCAGGGAAATAAGTTTCCCTCTTCAATCTGGTACTTCTGATTGCCTCAAGCGCGCTCTCTCTCTTTCTCTTTCTTTATTTCCCTTTCTTCCTT